GTGTCAGTCACTAGTCACTGTCACTTGTGTAATTTGTGCGATAACGCGTAACATGAGCTGCTTTCCAGTTATGCACATTGGCGCGCTCCAGAGCACCCCGGGAGCGCCACACCTAGATTTGTACCGTTCCAGTATCATGACGTGTGACGTTTGTCCGTACGTATAGCTCGGGGGCTCAACGCTCTAAGTAGCTCCGAGCGTCACACTCCCATACTGGAAATCGGCTGGTGTCAAAAGTGTATTAATTCTGTATTCAAGCGGTGAAGAACTGTTTACGATTTTGAAACAGAGCACTGAGTACTGAGTGAGATGCTACTTTGTTCGATCGATGTTGCTTTACCTCAACTTGGTAGCTTTGCATGGCTCTGCAAGGTCAATTTATTTTTCGAGTAAACATCGTATTTTCATTTGTGTTTTCGAGAAATGCACTTTTTCTTGTTTTGTAACGATAGTATTGATGATGATGCGATATTTGAATAATCTATCTCAATTTTTTTCTGGATGCACATAGCACATAAATCACTATTATGACTGTTCTTAGTTCTATTTCATAAATTTGCTTTTTTCGCGTTCCGCCAAATCTTTCGAACTTTAAAACTCACTCGTGGTGGTGGAATTAGTGCAAGAAAAACGCATTACTATCTGTTTCTTTAACCACTTCATTGCTTTAACCTCGAGAAAAAGTCAAAAATACACTCGGTGCGCATTGCGCTTTAATGTACCATCGTCACCAAAAGTAACTGGGACAGCATTATATTAGCTCTTGTACTATGATATGAATTTTATTGTCAAATATTTGTCAAACTATGAATCAAATGCATTGGAAATTATTGACAGTAGAATTAGTCCAGGAGATTATTATGCATTATTTTTGTCCCAGATACTGTCACAACCTGTTTTGTCGTGACTTTTGGTGACGATGGTACCAATTACAGTGACTCTATAACCCACAGTGGCGACAATTGCTGTCTCATTTTTGATTGGTTCTAAAATCCCATATATTTATATTGAAAACACCGCCATCTTGTTCCCAACCCCTTGTTACTTTTAAATATGAATATATGGGATTTAGGTGAACATTCATCATAAATCATGGAAAACAACGTATTTGATGGACCTAATAATGGTCATCAAATACGTCGATTTCAATTTTTTATGATAGATGTCCATTTAAATCCTATATATTAATATTTAAAAGTAACAAGAGGTTGGGAACAAGATGGCGGCGAAACCTCTATTGTCGCCACTGTATGTAAAGGTTTATTTAGCCACTGTAGTACCAATCAGATTCTGGAACCCGCAGAACTAATTCAGTGTATCAATCCGGATCCGATTTGATTAACCTCTGCCAAATACCAATGTTCTGAATTTCCGTTGGTGAAGGCAAAGGACCACGCACAAAACTTATGGAAAAGTGGTTCCGGTCAAATCCAATAAAATTTTAGTATGATATAGTTCATGACCTCCTGATCAAATTTCATCATTGCAACAAAAAAATCGTTCGAGCCGTTTTCGAGTTTATAGCCTTTTCAAGATGGCTGAACAAAAACAAATTAAAGACTGAATAAATCTTCACATTTCATTGATATTTTATGATAATCGATAAAATATCATAAAAATAGTTTTTAATTATTATAATCAACATAAATGGTGCTACAGTTTGTCTAATATTAAACAGTGCTATATTATTATATCCATTTTCGAATAACAGAACAGATAGACAAAATGCTCCATATCGCCCGTATTCACCAAAATCAACTTAGCCCGGTATTCCATAGACGGGTGCTTGGCTCAAGCTCCGATTTTTGACAGTTATGAGCATCGGTTCATGCTGTTTGGAATAGCAAATATAGCGTCAAGTCGTACTTGAGCCAAGACGCAACCTTGAGCATCGACTATGAATACGGGCCTTAGCATGAGAATTCACCCTCATGAGCGTAAGTTGACATTTCTGGCGTAATCACGTGATAAAATGGTTGGGTTTTATTGGAAAAATATTTGACATGTTGGAGATTTTACCAATCAAATTACACCATATTATCACGTGATTACGCCAGAAATGTCAACTTACGCTCATGAGAATTCGCCCTCATTTTGAAATTGTGGATGATTTGTTTATGTATCCGGCAAATAACCTAAATTTGGTGCTAAAGAGAATTTTCCTTTTTAGGATGTGATGTATTTTTAATGATCAGTAGATTAGGAGCATTGGCGAATTATTGAACACCTAAATTTTACAGCCTTTTGGAAATATAGGAAGTGCGCATGCCGGCTCTTCGAGCTTCATTTCTCGAGGTGGTGCTAGTGGAGTTAACTCTTTTCACTCTACTTGGCTGTACCCGAACGATGAGGAGCTTGCACTATTTGCTCCCATTACCCTGACCCGAACAATTTTGTAGTGAAAAGTGTCAAAGGAGTCAAAAGAGTGTCCAAGCCGAACTTATCTATAGCCGGAAACCGATGACACAGTTGACAAAATACCTTACATTTTTCACAATGAACTCACACAAGCCAGCAATGCTGTAAATACTGTATTCCTTTTACCTGTTGAGTTACTCGGAGCTGCTCAATGTCAAAAGCTTGAACGTTCCTTTTAAAAGTGCGTCAACCACTCGAGTCGCTGATAGTGCATTCCCCTTTACCCTGATGCACCAAATTTGCGGGGGGTGCAAGAAGCCCTTTTAAGGTAATGACGGTAATGTTAATATCAAAAATAATGGTAAAATATGAATTGTGTGTTTTTGAGTGACTCCAAGGAGCTCATTCGGTGTAACTCGATGTATAAAAGGAATAACAGTAATTCCTTTCAAGAGTCTAAAACACTAGAGCTACTCGCTCCGGTGCTAGTCGCCCCGATTTGAATGGAACAGATGGGAACAGATGTGCTGGCTATAGTTGTATTCCTTTCATAAGCCTAGTACTCATAACTGCGAAATTCGCATTTTTTTTGACATCAATTTGACGTTTGATACACGCATAAAACGTCAAATTGTCAACGTAATGTCAAAAAAATCCGCAATTCGCAGTTATGAGTACTAGGCTATACCTAGGAGGAGCTCCGGAAAAGCTCCGGGGCGTTACACGCTTATTCCTTTCGAAAAGTGTTTGTTGCACCACGCATCTGTTCCTTACAAATCGGGGGCGACTAACACCGGAGCGAGTAGCTCTAGTGTTTTAAACTCTTGAAAGGAATACAATCGTCATCGTCATCGTGCATTTAAATGGTTTAGTTCGGGCTTGAGTACTCAGGTGCAACCAACACTCCTCGTAAGGCCTATGTAGTTCAAATCCTAAGCTTCCCCCTCATGCCAAAGCACAGCACCATTGATGACGTAGCAGCCAGCATGTCGTTTCTCGCATTGAGGCAAGACGTGCGGTATTTGCTACAACTCTTTTTTTAGATCTCGTTTGCATTTTCCTCTTTACCTATTATGTTTATCAAAATCATCAAATTAATAGTAGATTATACCACGAGTCAATAATGATAGCTATTATTCCCGAGGAATATTTACGAACTGAGCCGCGTTAGCGGCGAGGGAGTAACATTCCGAGGAATAATAGCCATTATTGCGAGTAGTATACTCTACTTTATTCACGACAAATTAATTTATTTGAAATTTTCTTTCCAAAAACGCTTTTTGTTCATCCATCTCAATACAAATACACAAGCACTACGCGTTTGACACTGACACTTTTGAGTTTGTTCAGGTATATTGTTTCCATGGTACCACCTATTTAATTTGAGAAATTTTGTGATTGGTGTGCAAGCGGGAATAATGACCATTAATCCCTGCGGGAATAATATATATGGCATTATACTGCCAAAAACACAAATATAATACTTACATTATATGTCAGTCGTATATAAAATAATATTTTTCTTCATTAATTTAGAGTTTCGATGAAAATTGACTTGATTGAATTAGTTTAAAGTTGAGTTTCATTGAAAATTAGCTTGTACGGCCTCTGGCGCAAAAAGCTGACGACTTAGGTAATGACGACAGCAATGGTGCTACACTTTATGACCATGATGACCTTGGACACCTCGATTACCAAAAACGAGGCCGATAAGCAATCCTTAGTAGTGTGTATTATCCTTATAGATTTTTCATTATGACGTTGCTGAATGAAGTCAAACGGAACAATTATTTTTTCTTTCGTTGTAAAATAGCTCTATTATCTCTGGTACAGTTCGAACCGATACTTCCGGAACGAGTCTCAAATGACTGTTGCACTGAGTTATTAATCTATCTAGCTTAGCGTGAACGTATCACTCAAATATGCGCACATGTAAAGTCTGTTTTTTTTTTAATAGTAAAAGTGAAAATGACATTATGTTGGCAATACAATAGTTGTATTCCTTTCACATACAATAGTTGTATTCCTTTCACACCTAGGAGGAGCTCTGGAATAGCTCCTGGCCTTCACGCGCTTCTTCCTTTCGAAAAGTGTTGGTTGCACCACGCCAAGGATACCACGCATCTGTTCCCTGCAAATTGGGGGCTACTAAACACCGGAGCGAGTAGCTCGAGTGTTTCAAACTCTTGAAAGGAATACAACTAATGTAAAATTGTCAATGCTTTCAAATTTGTTATGTAGAAAAGGCTTGTGTTGCCAACTTTGTTACTAAATTTTTGACTTGGGGAATTATTTAAAAAAAAAAACAGACTTTACACGTTTTTTTTTTTAAATTTTTACATATCAACGATCCAAGAATCGTAATCAACGATCTACTTCCGCCTTGGGAACCTTGGCCTTGGGTAACGCCCACTGAACTAGTACAATTTCTATTCATTTGTACAATTTAAACCCTAGATGCCATAAAAGATCCAGTCAACTTGAATCGATCTATCGAACTATGTTTTTTCTTTTTTCTGTCATTAAAGCAAAAGAGACAGCAATAGAAATCATACAGTAACCGCCTTGCCAAATTGAATTTGATGTGTTTTTTTATTTCTTGTCGTAAGTGTCCAGTGTCTTTGTCATTTGTCAAGAATCTACTCCACTCCACACACGGACCGACGCATTTTTGAGAATTTTAGATTTGGTCGATTTGGATTTCACTTTTTCTAGTTTTTCTGCTGTTGTGTGTGTGTGTATATAAATTTCATGAAATCCTTCAAAAGCAATAATATTTTATTTTAATTACATAACGAAGAGAAGCCTTGTAAAAATGGTAAGATATTAATTATAATTTGTATACTCATTTTGAGATTGTGGATTATTTGTTTATGTATCCGGCAAATAACCTAAATTTGGTGCTAGAGAGAATTTTCCTTTTTAGGATGTATTTTTAATGATCAGAAGGAAAAAGCTTACTATCTTTACCGATGCAAAAGACACGACTACCGTTCTGGAGCTGAAAAAGATCATTGAGGGTAAGTAAGCAATCATCAATTTTTACTTGTCATTCTCATAACAAAAAGCTCTCTATACTGCCAAAATATGTTGAAAATCTTATTGGCACATTTCGACCCAATTTCTATTTTTTACTTAGAAATTGCCCACTTACTGAATAAATTCCTCTCAAAATTCTTTTATTGTGAATCAATCCAAATATCCACCTACAATATGCTCTTTGGGTCCAAAATCTTAAAATTGCATGGACATGGGTACCTAATATTATTGTGCCTTTGTTTGTGATGTGTAACTTCACATCATCGAAAAATTTCAGTGTTCCGTAAATCAAGAATTCTTGCCCAGCTTAACTTTGTGCCTCAGTCAGATTCTGCTTTCTCTTATGGTAATTTTTATAAATTAGTAGTGTCTATGGTCGAAATGCACAGCTATAAGTAACAGCAAGGGGCCCTATGCTGATCATTGAGAAGTGCTTTACAGTACATTTAACTAGAGTTGTTTCCCTAATGACTTCAAAAGTTATACTATAGTGGTAGTTCCCTTACCAAATGGCTATACCTAATCAAAAAGTTTAGTCAAGTTTATAATAATCTTTAATGAATCTCTATCGAAACACCTAACGATATCTTACAAGTAAGTGAGTAACTTGAAACTAAAGCAATACTGAAAATCCTCAAAAGGACCCATCAATTAGTAGTAAATTTACATAGGTGTTTTATATTGAAGAAAACATATTGATTTTCAACATTATGTTTCGCTTGGTGAATAATCTAACATTCCTAGCAATCCTAAATTGTTTTTAGGTATCCTTAAGATTCCACCCCAGAACCAACAGCTGTTCAATAAAGATAATACCCTAATGGACGATGCACACACTCTACAAGAATATGGCTTAAACTCTAACACTGCAAAGGCTCAGAGCCCAGCTACAGTTGGATTGGCTGTCAGGTAATTTTTGTTTCCAAACACTATAGTACAATAAATAGGGATATTTTACTAAAAAAAAAAAATACTTAATGGCTGAAATTTTGAGGGTGTGTTCGGGGGCATGTCCTGGGACCCAATTCTTGAATAATCTCGAATACGAAAATTTATATGATTTCGAACGTTACCTATTCAATTTACGTTGCTGTAATTCGAATTCGAATCAACTTTCGTATGCGAAAATATTCAAGAATTGACCCCCTGGGGTGCGATTTTCGAAACCATTCGAGTACATTTCGTACACGAAATTTGACTGCAGCAATGTAAATTAAATGAGGAGCAGTCAAATTTCGTGTATGAAATGTACTCAAATGGTTTCGAAAATCGCACCCCTGAGTCTAAAACTGAGTTTTCGTATTCGAGGGGGTGGGGGAAGATATTACCCCCTCTTTATGTAGGGTTGAGTTCGTTTTAATTAGGGATCGAGGGATACCGATATTTATATCGGCTATATCGGCCGATTATCGGTATCGGTCGATATCAGGAAGCCGATAGGCCGATAATTTTTTTTATTGGGAAAAAAATGTAAAAAAACGAAGGACAAAAACAATTACATCACTAATAGATTTTTATTGACAATAAAATGTATATACTTAGCTACGAAAGTAAAGTAGAAATGATTAGCTTTTTTTCTGACAGCTTTTTTTAAAATTTTTATTTTAACACATTTTCGCTTCGTACCTGAATCCGTTATCTAACGATATTCCACTGGATGGTGGAATTGCACCCTAATGTTGTTAAGATTTTTTTATTGAAGTTCCTTTAAATGTAATAGTGGTAATAGTGTTTTTAGTTTTTATTGTAATGAATTGCTTTGTCAATGAAAATTATTTTTCTGTACAATAAAGCTTATTTTGATTTGATTTGATTTGATTTGAAGTGTGTTTGTGCACATAAGGTTATGTCAGTAAGTAAGGTTATGTCACTACAAGGCATAGCTGATAATAAAAGTTTTTATCAGATAGTTTTGAAGAACAAAAAAAACAGATCCAAACAACAGTTGAAGAAATCAAGCACCTTAAGAAGGAAAATAACGAACTGAAGGAAAAGGTGGACTCAATGGAAGAAAGGATCAATGAAATTGAACAGAGAGAAAAGGAGAAAAATATCGTTATATCTGGTATACCCAAGCAAAAAGAACTGGTGAGCGAAACAATGAAAAAGGTCTTTAAAGCTCTAAAAGTGCCTATACATGAAGGTGATGCCCAGGAAATTTTCCGATTAAACAAAAACGAAGGCGCGCCCATATTACTAAAACTCAGAAGCACAACAATAAAACACGAATTGATGTCAAAAATAAGGCAACTGAAGGGACTTAAGCTGAACGAATGTGGCTTGACCAGAGGTCCAAAGAACATATATTTTAATGAGGACTTAACACGTCAGAATCAGATGCTTTTTAAAAGGGTAAGGGACACAAAAAAGGAAAAGAATTATTACAAAGCGTATGTCTTAAATGGAAAAGTATTTCTCAAAAAAAATGAAAATGACAGACCAGTAAGGATTAAAAATGAGAACGATATAGAGCAGTTATAAATAAAAGATATGTAAATACAATGTAAATAATAAAAAATATTTATTCATTTAAAATGGAGACTGAAAACCTGACTGAAAAAATGGAGCAAAAACTAAATGTTCTATATATCAATATAAGAAGCGTTAGAAATAAACTAAATGATATTAATGATGTTATACTAGCACACAAAAAAATTATACATTTGATAGTCCTAACAGAAACTTGGATCTACCCAAACGAGAAAGACTGTTTTAAATTAAATAACTACACTGCACTACATGATTGCAGAGATACACGTGGTGGGGGATGTAGTATCTACATATGTGAAGATCTACATTATGTCCAAAGCAACAAGCATAAAATACAAATTGAAGATTGCAATATCGTATTTCTCTACCTACCAAAACAAAAGCTCTCCGTAATAGCTATATATAGACCCCCACATAGCAACTGTGAATTTTTCTCAAACAAACTTGACACAATACTGGAACAACAAAAAAATGAGTGCATAATAATAGGAGACATGAACTTAGATTTATTGAAGCAATCACAAACTATCAATAACTACCAAAACATTATACAAATGAATGGATTTAAGTTCCAGAATGAAGTGCTGCAACAAAATGCAACTAGGGTGACTAGCAATACAGCATCTATCCTGGACCATATAATAACAAATCAAAATTTAGCCTGCACTATTAAACTACAGGACAGTGACCTATCGGACCACAAAGTTATGTACATAGAAATTAAAAAAGCAATATCTTTAAAGAAAAAAGAAAAAGTAAAACGAAGTTTTTTAATGGAAAATAAATGGCTAAATCATATGCAGGAAAAAATAGAACAACATCAAATAACAACTTTTCAACAACTAGCTGAAATCATAAATACCTCAAAAAATGAATGCACGAAAGAATACAGTATAAAAATAAAACAAAACAATTATTGGATAACAAACAATTACCTATCTAAGCTCAAGGAGAAGGACGCACTGTATGTTAGGTGGAAACGAATTAAAAATGAATATTGTGAAACGGAGTTTAAAAAAGCCAAAAACCAACTAAACAACCTTAGAAAAAAACTGCAGAAACAGTATGCAGAAAGACGGTTTAATGAAGCAACGGGCAACGCAAAGAAGACCTGGGCAGTACTAAATGAAATATGTAATACCAATAAAAATAATAAAAAAAAAATACATCAAATAATCAACTCTAGTGGAAAGTTAGTTAAAAATAACAAAGAAATGGCTCAAGAATTCAATACGCATTTTTCCAAAATAGGAGATACTTTAGCAGACAAAATAAAACAAAATTCAAAAACTCTTTTCAACGAGGAGGAAGTTGAGGAAAGCATAATTCTTGAACCAACAACCCTTACAGAAATGAAAGAAACGATCAATACCTTAAAAAACAACTGTGCTCCAGGCATGGATGGTGTATTGAAAAAAGATTTGCAAACTCTATATTACATTATTGGAACAAAAATGGTAGAACTTGTTAATAACGTCCTGCAAACTGGAATTTACCCTGAAGAACTCAAAATTGCTAAAATCATCCCAATATTCAAAAAAGGCGAGCACGATAACATAAATAACTATAGGCCAATTTCACTACTCAGTACTTTTTCCAAAGTGTTAGAAAAAATTATCAAGACCCGATTAATAAATTTCATTGAAACAAATTTTAAGTTTGATAAACAGCAATATGGGTTTCAATGTAAAAGTAGCACACAAGGAGCAGCAGTGGATATGTTGGAATATGTTTCCAGTGAGTTGGACAAAAGTAAATATGTCATAACTGTGTTTGTCGACCTTCAAAAAGCCTTCGACACGGTTAATATAGAGTTAATGATGAGCAAACTATATAAAATGGGTTTCCGTGGACCATGCTATAACCTGCTAAAATCTTACTCTACTGGAAGAAAGCACTTTACAACAATAAATAGTGAGAGTAGTGAACAACTTAACTTGAATGTAGGAGTTGCCCAAGGGTCAGTGCTGGGGCCAATACTTTATTTACTGTATGTACATAGTTTGAAATATGCAAACTTAAAAGCAACCTACTTTAAATTTGCAGACGACACTGTATTGGTCTACTCAGGTGACAGTGCAATACAACTTGACGAACTTGTAAATAGTGACTTAAAGCAATATTTTAGTTGGCTGTGCTATAATAGACTTTCGTTGAACGCGCAAAAAACAGTATATATGGTTAGTAAACAAACAGGAAAACCACCCCTAAACCCACAAATAAACATAAACATAAATGAAGTACCTTTGAAAAGAGTGTGTGAATATAAGTACCTTGGCTTGCTCATTTCTGAAAAACTAACATGGGATAAGCACATTGAAACTGTGACTGGAAAAATAGTGCCAATGATAGGTGTAATTAAAAGATGTTCACATCAACTAAACCAAAAAACAAAACAGCTGCTCTATAATAGTTTTGTAGAGCCACATTTTAGGTATTTGATAACGTGTTGGGGAAATACAAGTATTGCACAAATAAATAGGCTCCAGAGACTTCAAAATAAGGCTCTTAAAACAATATTTGGAATGAACTTTTATGTCCCTAGTGAAGAAATTTACAAAAGTCTGCCTTGCCTAAAAATATGTGAGCTTAAAATACTAGAACAAACAAAACTTATTTATGCTATACAAAATAAATTGCTTAAAACAAATGTAGAACTGAATGAAAATAGACAATATTACAACTACAATACCAGAAATAACCAAAGACTAAGAAATACCTATGCCAGAACAAAGAAAAAACAAGACTCTCCAATCTATAGATGCGTACAGGCCTATAACAAAATACCAAAGACTGTACTGAAGGGTGTGATTAAAGAAATGTGTCATAACCTTAAAGAATACCTAAGAGCAAACAGATTATAAAACTAATATATTTTTTGAGTGCTTAGTTAAATGTTATATTTTACTTCTGTTATGTTATATTATTGATATTAAGGCCTCGGTGCCAGTTTATTCTAAACTGTTTTGAGGTCTGAAATAAATAAATAAATAAAAAAAAAAAAATATCCGTAGCGTATTTCGCATGGTGTGGCAGATTATTGAACTAATTACTTCGATCGTTTCTGACAACTCGGTTTGATTTGTCTTTGTCAGCAACTTGCCCGAAAATGTTCTATCTTTTTTAAACACATACAAAATTTGACAAATGTTTGAATCCAAAGACCATCAATCAAAAACTGAATGCTCACAATCATAACGTAAAATTTCTTCTATTATTTATATTAGAGAAATGAGAAAACATTCTGTGATCATAAATATTAATTAATTAGACAAAATTGACACCAATAATAGTGTGTTTTTGAATTTGCGATGATGCGAGATGCAGTAAAAAGGTAAATACAAAACTTATAACACAAACATTTTTAGTTACTGTATACTCAACTGTATATTTATAAAATTGGAATAAAAAAATAAGTT